TAAATTTCCTTTGTTTTTTTTGTGTTTTTTTTGGAGACATTTTGTCCTTTGTTGTGTGTCATATCCAGCATTGATTCAGCTCGCCAACTCCTTCCAGTGTTAGCTAGTTTTAACACTATACGTTGGTATTATGGAACAAGACTTTCTTAATAAATGTTATGGGAAATGGTGCCGTAACCATGAAACACTGTAGATAGAGGACCGAGGACCCACTGTACTGGAGTTGCTGTCGTTCCATAGAGACATAATAAACATTTACCAGCTTTAATATACAACATTTAAAAACTTTAAACAAACCAAGTACAAATGTAATCCTTCCCTATGTTTTTAACTATGGTGACTGGTTTATAAAGAGAAGGGAATATTTAGCCTGCTTTATCTTCAAGGTATGTCTTACTTGGCGCTAATACTTTTGACTTAGCCTCTTACCCGTCTGCTGTGCAGGGAAATCACCTCCCTGACGAATTCACCTCACAACAAAGGCCCCGTTTTTTTTCTGATACCTTTGAAACAATTGTCTGCGTCTCCGTCATTTTTTCCCTCTACTATCGCATCGGTGGATAAACGCCACCATTATCAGCTTTAAACCCTCTTTTGTTTTTCACCACAGGCTGGGAAAAAAAAGAATAACAGTCATTTAAACACTGGCACTTTCACAAACTGTAATCACAATGAGTCTCTTTATCGGGGGAGGGGGTAAACAATAAAAGCGTGTGTCTTTCATCCTAATGCAAAGCTGTTGTTCCGCTTTGGTTTCGCTCTGCCTCTGTCAGAGAGATGCTTTATCTAAATGGTTTCAAATGTACAGTCTGTTCCACGTTGGGAAATATGTAAAAATATGTGGCTGCATATGGATCCATGAGGAGCACAAGATGTTGGATTAATAGAAGCAGCCAGGATGTTTACACGGGGACATATCAGCCCTACATGGTATATGACTTCACTTAGAAAAGCCCTGAATTCATTAAGAAAATCTCTTTGTTTTGAATAAAGCTGACAAAAGGCATTCATCATTTGACATCTGCTCGGCTGTTACATCTCGTCTGCTGTTTGGACCGTTGTTAGGATACTCATGATGTAGAAGCGGTTCAAATTGGTTGCTATTAATCCTGCTGATGATGATAGCAGTGAACAGGGATGATTTAATCTAATCCTCTGGATTGATATCGGACAGATATTGGGCGAGATTTCAGATCAGAAAGAGGGAATTATTATTTTGGTTTCCAGGACTTATAATTCCTTTTTATGTGTCACAATGCTCTGACTCAAACTTTTTTTACAAACGTCTAAATCTGCACATTAAATAGCATTTTGAATGTTTAGCGGTTTTGCTGAGACTGTCTGACCCATCAAAATAAATCAAAATAAATCAAAATAAAAAAGTAAAAGCTGCCACTGTGTTAATAGTGGTAGTGATAGAATCGCACAACGTAAATCACTATTTCCTTTCTTTCTTTGGGAGATCATATCATTTGTCGCACAGTTGAAACCTGGCTTTTTAGACGTCTATTCAGCAAGTTTCATCCAAGCCAATATCAGTCAATATTTTATTTTCCATTGACAACCTGTGTGTTCCTTCCCTTCACCACCTTTTAAGGCAGTGAATCATCATTTTTTTCTATCCCTGGGAGAATGTAGCACATTTGTGTCTGTGGGTTAACGCGTTGCGATGGATGGATAACAAATGGAGCAGCGCCGTGTTTGCTGATTTTTCGGATTGGTGAGCGCTCGGGAAAATAAATAGACTCAGACGTAGATTAAGGAAATGACGGATGGATGTGCGGCGCTGGAGTGAGATGTGGGTGAGATTAGATCACAGACGGATTGGGGGTTTGGAATTATGAAGGAAACAATGACAGAAGAAAGAGGAAAAAACGTAGCGCTGTTAATGTGATTAGAGGTTGGCGCCAAAATTGAAGTTAATTAAACTGAGTTGTGTCATACGTGTGTAAAACTTTTATTTGCACACCTTGAATTTTATTATAACGTCTCTACAACACAACTGCACGTTAAAAGTAACAGTACACTGAAATGTTTATATCTAAGAGTTTTCTTGTATTTTTTCTAAGTATCCTGACAAATATTGCAGCTGCATCAGCAACTTCTGTAACTATTGTGCTTTGACGTGTGAGTTGTTCTATTTAATTTGTATGATGGATAAAGCCCTCATGGGCCAGCATAGAATAAAACTACTCATGGTGCAAAAAAAACTCTTGGTACTACTGCTGTACTGCAGTTCCTCATCTGTCTGTATTTCACCTATTTACTTGGCTCTTCTGTTGTTACATCAGCAGTGGTTATGAGCTCTTTCTCTCCATCTGTGATTCTCTCTGCATTCCTTCAACGCTCCTCCCTGTCTCTAACTAGGCCTCAATGCAAATTTTTTGTTTCACCGGACACCTGTCCAACCTCAACTTTCAACCCGTCCATAATGGTTTGCGAACACAAATGGCTGCCGAACTAAAACAGCATGTGAGCAAACCCAGAACCCATCAGTCCCTCTGGCCGCACACCTCTCCTGTGTTCACAGCCCCCATAGTGATTGATCACGACCCACGCTCACATACTTCTCTGCCTCGTCCTAATACAGTTCCCCCTTGAAAGGCGGCTTGTAAATGGAAACCTATATAGATGCAACTACTTCATACTACTTCATAATATATTAATAACCAAGTATTACTTATTCAACTGACAAATATTGTACATTGCTCTGTGCAATGAAATGCTAGTTAAGTTACTGCGGGCCACACAAAGTAACTTGTCAGGCCGCATTGAGTTTGACACGTGCTCTCGGATGTCTTTTCAATGTAGAACATATTATTATTATAAATTATGAAATCTATGTGTATCTCTCTTCTATTCTAACTGTCATGTGTAATTGAGAACCATCAAGGGTTTGTACCAGTTACAGTGAAACGGTCTGTCTGTTGTTTGTGTATGTGAGAGGTGTTACATTTAAAATAGCTGTTAGCCATATTCCCCTCTTTTTTTTTGCTCTCCTTCCTCTTCTTCTCCTCCTCCCATCCTGCTCTCTGCTCCTCTGTCATATGTCCAGGCAGAGGTAGTTTTGTGTAAACACGTTTTCTCACACACACTCACAAACCACATTGTGTCCTAATCAAAGGCAGCCTCTGCACATTGTGTCCCAGTTGAGTAGCTATTTTTATCAGCAGTCCTCTAACAGGGATGGAATGGGTCAGATAGGCCGGGCTGACAAATTCACACACACACACACTCACGTACTGTACAGTACATACACATGTACGTTTGCTAATATGCACGCTTGTACGCGTACAGGACATTTGGCTGCACCACAGAGTTATTTTCAGGCGTCTACAGTAGTCATGGTGAGGTCATGGGAAACACATACTGTCAGTGAGTGTCCTATAAAAAGGACGCATCTGAACAGTAACAGTAACAGTGTCCTCTTTCATAACAGCACTATAGCTCACGTACGCCGAAGCGCTGTTATGTACGTACACGCTGGGCGTCGTTAGAGAAGCCTGATTACTGATTCACCATGATGGGAGAGCTGCGGTTGGCAACGATCCAGTTCCTGGCTTGTTAGTTAGGAATTTAAAGGCTCTGGCTTGGACCCAATTAGATTCTCTCACTCTTTTTCTACCTGTCTCTCTCTCTCTCTCTTTCTCTCTCCCTTCCTCCTATACTCTGCTGTCACGACTGTGCTGAATGTGATGTGATTCCACACACTGGAAATCTCCACAGTCCCCACATCTGCTGTCAGTGCTGCTCTTTGAAAACAGAAAGTAAGAGGATATTGTACATTATTTGTGGCCAACACTAATAATGTTGTCTGCAACAGCTCCAAGTGCTCGCTCTTCCAAACCAACACACAGTTGTAAACAGTTTTATTGAGGAGCACATGTGACGTGTTGTACAGCCAGGGCTGTTTGTGGTCTCGGTCTTTGGGTCACAAGGTAATAGTGTATTAATTAAAGCTCATATTAGGACGCCTTTATTTTTTTTTGTCACACAATTTTCTCATCTTCCCATCCACACAGCCAGCGCAGCTGTCAAAAGCAATTTGAGGTTCAACGTCTTTCCCAAGGACACGCAGATGGTGATAAAACCGTCAACCTTCTGGTCGGAGGACGACCTGCTCGTCCTGTAGCACATCTGTATCACACATTATCTGCGCGCGGCTAAATATATATGTTGCAGATCAGATCATTCAACTTTCAGACTCCTAGTGACAATGACAAGGACAGTGTGTCATAAATATGCAGCAGTGACCACTATGGGTCAGTGGGGCACTGGCTTTTTAAAGTGATTTTTAATGGATTTTTTTTTCCCAGGAAAAGCAACAAATTTACTGCTTTACTCAAGACATCACATTCAGTTTTTGTTGGCTGTTGATCAGTGAATAGTGTTCGGAGCTGCGAGGTTTAAGTGAATACCATATGTTGCAACTCTCGCATTGACCACAAGTAGATAACGAGTACAAACTTCAAGTTTGAAGTATTCAGAGAGGCACTACTGGATGATAGCATAACCCCAGCACATCCATGGCCACAGCTTGTAGTAGTCGTTCCATATGTGTTCAACATGTTCTTAAGTGTTCATCATTATGGCCTGTTTTTTTTTACTTATGGTTCCATATGGTTTATTTCCAGTACTTGGGTATGTAGAGGCAGCAGGGCAGAGCTGGAGTGCTGTAAAAGTAAAAATTAAAAATTAAATTAAATATTTTTATAATTTTTTGTCATTATTATTATTATCATAATATATATTATTAAATATAATATATATTAGAATTTAACATAAACATCAGATTGCTGTGCTAACTCTTTCAACCAAAGTTTTTTCTTTTTTTTTTTGAAGCACACACCTCTGACATTAGCTGTTTTTGCTCTAATTATCAGAGACTTTTCATCATCACCCACACCACAGAGGGCGCCATCACATGTCGACTTGTCTGCTGTGACGAAAATGTCAGGGTGAAGCCTGTTGTTGACAAAAGTCCATTCTCTGTGTTCCAGGTGCGTAACCTGTGTTACATGGTGACACGGAGGGAGAAAATGAAACACACTCTGTGTGACCTCCAGGAGAAGATCTTCCACCTGCAGATACAGCTGCTGGAGGAGGACATGTCTGGAGGTAAGAATGGAATGCGTGTGATTGTGATTGTGGTTATTTGTTGACGACACGGACACACATACACACTTCTGTTTGTGTCTGTTACACACGTACTGGTACATACCTGTACTCTGAAATTCCCAAATTAGTAGGTTATGATAATACCAGTATCATCAGACACCTGTTGGCTGAGTGCAGTCAAAGGACAGTTTTACAAAGGCTCAAACATAATTCTTTTTATTTATTTTATTTTATTTATAAATGTCACTTCTTACTAAATACTCAACCTCAATATCTAGTCCACTAAGTCTGACTTTTGTGCAGTAAATAGGTATATTGTGAACTAGAATATGAAGTATTTTGCCGTGTTCCGCTACCTGTCTTGTCACTCTAGTAATGTTTTTTTTTTGTAATTTTTTTTTCTTTTGAAAAACCCGCGAAAACCCAGGAATGCAGATAAGAAATTTTAAAGAAATTAATACCTTTCTTGGTCATTTAACACAGCGCTGCCCAACCTTTTTTGTACCAAGGACCAGTCGTCCGTTATGGACCGTTACTACGGACCACTGGCACCCAACAAACTTTTCAAAATAAAACGTCTTTTAGACTTTCTAGTGTCGGATTCTGGATGACGTTTTATTTTGAAACATTGACAGATTATCTTTGAACGAGGAAAGTAAATAGATATGACAGGATTCTCTTTGAATGAAGTAAATTAGTCAAAATGAAGTATATTTTTCATTGTGTCCCATTGCAGCCTGATAACAAATGACCTGCGGACCAGTACGGGTCCGCGGACCTGGGATTCGGGACCCCTGATTTAACAGACGGTCACAATATACCTTTATATGTGGGTCAAAGAACGCTAGCACCTGTTCAGATATATACTGTACAGAGCAGCGAGTCGGTCTCAACATGTTTGCGATATGAATGATCTTAAAGTGAAGTTAATTAAAATTGAAGATAAAAAATCCATGTTCGCTCCTGGGGTCGTGACCCGCAGCTGTGCTGACAATGATAGTCTGCAGCTCCGTAATAACAGTGATTTTTAGTTGGCATGGTAATGATGGGGGAACCTCGTCATCCTGGCCTGTGCTTGTGCAAGAGGAATGTGCGTGTGTGTGAAAGTCAAAGTTCTGAGACCAATTCAGATCAGTCAACCTGGATTGTAACAAAAAGTAATAACACACTTATTGTGTTATTACTTCACGACGTAACTCAAAATATTTGCAGACAAAATCTGCTCGTGAGTAAATGCACTCCACTAAGTCTTGGTGTATTTCAAAGTGCAAGAGTTCCTGACTCAGCAGACTGCAGCCATCATGACAGTCAGGCTGCTGGCACTGAACTGTCACCACTAGTCACACTGCCACTATAATAGAGAGAGTGTCAGAGAGTCAGAGAGCGTCTCTGTGTATTTACCTCTCATCTTTCTGTTTTCTTGCTAATTCTTTTTTTTTTTTTCCAACATACCCACTCTCTCCTCTATCTGTATCTGTGTGTGTCATTGTTTCACTCACTTCTAATTAGGGTTGGAACGGTGGTTTAAAAGAATCCCCTGAATTATGTCATAGTTTCGTGCAAACTGCCATTTCTAGGTCAGCAAAATCCCCCTGTAATAACAGGAGTAAGTAAAGACAGTGTCTCAGGTCAATGTGATGTCATTTATACACACAACGTTAAAAGAAAAAGCAAGAAATCCAACTCGATGTTGTTGCTTCAAAAAGCCATTCAACATCATTGGATTCTAATTGGACAGAACACTCCAGTTTCAGAGATTTATTACCTTCTTCCATCATCGTCAAAAAAAATGAAATCCATCACATTTTTGGTCATTTCCTGTTTTTCTTGGGTTGGGTTTTTTTCGTTTCTTTTTAGTATCCAAATTGGATATGGACATTAGCATGTCAGGCTAATTTTGTATTTATTCTACTTCAGCCGTGGTGCACCTACTGTATATCTATATCAGAAATAAATGTAGTCATATTTTACAAACTGACAGACCGAACAAAGTGTCTGCAATGAGCAAACGCAGTACACGAGGTTTCCCTTTGTGCCTTTCTCCATGTGGAAACACAAAACAACACCACTAACTTCCGACTGCCTCTCTGTTTCACCGTAGCTTTTCTGTCATGTTTCACAGTCTGTCTGTCAGTTCATCAGCTGTCCTGAGGGATTATCTGCCCGTCTGTCTCCCGTGTCAGGGACTGCCCCCGTCATGTTTTTGGTAAATGCTCGTCCCTTAGTACAGACTGACAGGACAGGTGAATTCCCTGTAGTCTTAGATTCAGAGGGAAGCTTCATAACATCCAACAGCAAACAACAAAACAAGTTTTATTCAACAGCGACACCAGCTTTCACATGTTAACGTGGATATAAAACTAATTGGTTCTCTTGTCCCTGAGATTGTGTCATATCGTCCAGCTCCAGCGGCTTCCTGCCACAGTCCAGAGACATGCGGGCTTCGGTTCAGTTAATTAGAAGCTATAAATTGCCTGGAGGTGTGAATGTAAGCGTAAGTGCTCGTTGATCTCGTTATGTTACTTCTGTCACAAGCCTGTCCACCTTCTCCCCGGCTTCTCACGGGAGCTCGTGGAGTAGCATGATAATAAATGGATAGAAACGCGAGAAGGAAGTGAATTAGAATTACGTGTAAAGAGTGAGTTTCCCACGAGAGTGATGACTAACACTACACTCTGCTTCTTTATGAACGACAGTAAAATGAGAACTGCTTTAATTATTGATATGAAACTGACTGTTTTCAATTGTAGCAACACTGCCCTCTGTCAGTATTTTCTCTTTATTTCTTGTGATGAGGAGATTTCAAGCAGGGATATATTTAGCACTGGAAAATGAATCCAAATGACTGTTATTAAAAATCTTTTAACTTGTATGATGTAATAACTTGCACGCACACATACACAAATAGTGACATTATTATCCAGAAATTGCCGAATAGATTTGGGAGGTTAAAGAAGATCACAAAGGCTGTCAGAAACAGAGAGGGAAAATAAATAGTTCTGCTGAGAATTAAAGGCAGAGGAAGGATGGAGAATAAAAGAAAAAAAAAGACAAAAATCTCACGTAGTTTTAATGAGTGGAGGTAAGAAATGGGACACAGTGTCTACACTCGGAGACTCGCGCTGCTGTTTTAGCTTAGCTGGAAAGAAGGAAAATTAATCACACACTTCAAAAAGATGAATCCCCCGGTGCTGTTGCAAGTTCTAAACTAGAGGGGGGAAGGTAGTTTGGGGAGGAAGGGTGGGAGGGACGGATTATAGTGCAGGGATGGAGAGAAAAGGCAGGAAGGCAAGAATCTGACCAGAAAAATTGTGTGAAAAGGTTTCCACAGCTGGAATGTTAAAATTGTGCTGAGATTTCAACCTGCAGAGCCAAAAATTCCACATATTCAATCAGAGCCTGCAGCCTTTTTCTAAAAACCACTGGACCTTTTTATCTTTATCTCTTCTTCTTAAGCTGAAGAAGTAATAGATACAGACACATTTAGTGTTTTATTAAAAGAAAAAAAATCCTCAATGTGTGTAAAAGAAAGTGTCAAACTTGAGGCTTGCGGACTGCATTAAAATGTTGAATATAAAAAATGTGTCACTTCTCTGTACTGACTGTGACAACCCCTGTTTGATGGAACAAACCAGATGTGATTACACTGTATGTATGAGACAAGTGTTTCATTTTGAATAACACTGTGTTATAATGGTACCCAAAAATGTAATATCTGTTAAAACAAATGGATCAGATTAGGACGTAGAAATATTAAAAGATGAAACCCTCTGTCCTGGCAGATTAGAAAATGAGATTTATATCCCATTAAATTAAAGAAAGAAGAAAGGCACACTGTAGGAGCCGTGCGAGGAAACTGTCCCTGTGGGATTTCCCTAACAGACCCCCCCCCAGCAATAATGGTCTTTGCAATTTCAGCAAAAGCACTAAAAGAAATTAGAAAACTGGGTTGAAGTGTCTGGAAGATAAACTCCTAAAAATCCTATTTAGTTGCAACAGCTGAATACGGCGGTGCAGTTGCTGCGCTAACGCTATGCTGATGACAGATCACAGATTTTAGTTCAATTTCAAAAGTTGGAATTCGCCCTTGGCTTCACTTATGCAGAGCTTTTTCTACCACTTCATCTACGACCCAGACTAGACACAAGTTCATTTTAATTCAGGACCCTTAGTTTGAGCCTCAGGCTCCCTAACCTACAGTATGTCAGGACCCCACTGTGACACATCCACAATAAAATGATCAATCAGTGCAACATTCCCCACGTTATTTTCAATGGCCAGCTTTGACCTGTGTTGTGTCTTGTTTTTTGCCCCTTGCCCCCACTTTGGGAACCACTATTTTAAGACATAGACTAGGGGTGTCAAACTCATGTTCGCCGGGCGCCACATCAACCATACAGTTCCCTTTGAAGGTCCGGTTGTAAATGGAAGACTGTATAGATCAAGGGTGCCCAACCCCTGGTTCGCGTACTAGTACCAGTCCATAGGTCATTTGGTATTGGGACACAGTAAAGAAATGTACTTCATTATTTACTATTTTACTTCATGCAAAGAAAGTCCAGTCATATCCATTTACTTTATTTAAATATAATCTGGCAATGTTTTAAAATATGTCATTCAGGCTATACAAAACGACTTGGCGGGCCTTGAGTTTCACACATGCGATATACATAGATGTTCTGGATCAATGTAAAACAAGCAGCAATAAGTCGTTTGTTCCACACACATTCAATTTAGTGACTTTATTTTGTAGCCCTTTGCTGCACAGTTGTGTCATTTTAATAAATGTTCAGGCAGCGAAATTAAATTCCAACACTCCAGGAAACAGAGCCAGAAAATAAAATTCCTCCGGATCAGAAACTTTGGAAAATGTTCTCTGTCAAGAAGTTCCTACTGCATTTTTTTGGTATTTCTTCTCAATTTAAATCCAAGGTGTTTTCATAAACGCTCATTACTTCCAATAATAAATAATAATTCAATATATTATGCACTGTAATCCAATGAAATCGATCTTAAAAACCTTAGGTTAGAAGTGCTTCAAGTTCTATTTCCCTCGCTCCTATTATTAAATTTGATCATTCTAGAAGTAGAATTTACAAATCTCATTAAATGTCCTACTACTTTCTGTTGTTTTCTTTTAGAAAAGAGAGTGAGAGTTCTCGGTGACAATCGACAACTCTCAGGCTTTTTTTTTTTTTTTCACACTCACTCTCAAGCACACACACACTTATTAGTGTGAAATCTCTGATCTCTCTCAGTTTATGCACTGTGCTGCTCGTCCATGCTAGAGTGAAGGTTAGAACAGCCTACTGCTGGCTGTGACAGTCAAACACATCCACAAGGGCACACACAGAACACACCCAAACACATAATACACATTGTTAGCATAGCACACACCTCTCTCTCTCCCACTCTCTCTCTTTTTATGTTGCAATGTTTCTAGACAGCACCAAGTTTCTCACAACACCTGAGCTGAATTCTTCACCATACCTCTTACTGTAACCTATAATGTCCTATATTTGCTTTTCACATTTCCAAACTACAAACTCGAGCTAGCAGCTAGTGGCTAACTGCAGTTATCTTTCAGACCCCAATTAGAAACCATGACTGGTAACATTGCTAATCATAGAGTGACCTAGTAATTAGACCCAAAGGTGTGTAATGCTAATAACAGCTAGCATTAGTTAATTGCTAACCCCTAGCGTGGCTTGCAGGAAGCTGCTACAGTAGGTGTATTAGCCACATGCAGTGGCTGATAGCTATCAGCCATTACCAGTTGGAATAATTATGAAGGTTTTTGTGCGTATTAAATCCTGCAGAAGATTCTAGTTTTGTTTATTTGTGTGATATTAGCTGAGAGCTTTAACTTGATGAGATAGCTCAGTGGCTACAGTTTGAAACTGGATAATTTTTTTTTTTTTTTGTTGTTCTGTGTTAACGCTGACCATTTTTTCGTGATTGCCTGACCCGACCTTAACGTTGACTATTTTTTCGTGATTGCCTGACCCGACCTTCTTTGAATAACCATAATATTGATTATTGAACCATAATATTAATATTGCAAGGTGCCCATTTGATCAAAAACCCCTGTGACGCTGCTGTTAACCTGCAGGTGCCCGCCTGCTGTACAAATACGTGTACACCCAAGCTTGTAACAGAGATGCACACATCCATGAATATGGTTCACAGCAGCGGGAGAGTGAGTTAGGCAGGCAGGCAGAACTCTATGTTTATGCAAACAGCAGGAGGCTGTTACAGCAAGACGTCCCGGCATTGAGAGCTTCACCGGATGTGCGACACAGAATGGGCTCATCAGTGAGTTTTATACGTGCGGCACTGAGACGGTGCATTTTTGCAGATATTTCTTGACGCCTGATTGCATGCAGATAAGTTAAGATTTGCATGTTTGGTTCTGTTGAATGAAAAGTTCAACAAAATGGCTTCATTCAAAGGTTCATGTGAAATTCCGAGGTGAAGTAAGTCCTTGATTTGTTGTGAGCCAATTCACTAGAAACTTGTCTAGTACTCAGATTTCTAGACAAGGATAGATTTAGACCTGAAAATGAGCTGAAATGTAATTAAATGTTTAGATGTTAGATGTCAGCTCAAACAACTTCAGTCTAGCTGAAATAGCTAATGATTAGCATAAACATAATACAACAATAATTAGCTACCCTAACTAGAACATAATGGTTATGTCTTTTATGATTAATATTATAATCGAATGTAAGGAACCAATATAGATAAACAGTAACAAGTTCTCCATAAATATAGTTGCAAAACAGTAGGTTTCTGACTCCATTAAATATGAAATCATTGAAAGTATTATCAGCAAATTCTTGAGGAGTTTTGCGAGTGGTTAAAGTATATACTACAGTGTGAGTACGTGTCAGTGTCAGACCGCTGTAGCAGACTGACTTCCGCTGTCAGATGTTGTTCCCTATTTCATCATGTGCACACATCATTGTCTGCTGTGTTACCTGCCATCCTCTCAGCTGGAGTCGGTGAGTCGGTGCTCCCGCAGTGAGAGGAAACTCGCAGCAGGAAACGCTCCGCAAGACTCCTGAGTTACATGTTACATGTCATCGACAGGGCTGGGTGTGTGTGTGTGTGTGTAGCGGCCCTTACAAGTATGAAGACTGACACCCAACTCTCTGGGTTTGTTTGTGAGGTCTGTTTCCTTTGAGTCAGTCCGTGACACTGTCACAGAGATACAGGAAGATACTGGAACATGGAACACATCACATCTGAATGTTGTCAACACATAGACGTCGTCTTTAGTCACATGTCTTACAGCCATGACATCCAAGCTGAATATAATTTCTGGCGGTATGAACGCAAAACTGAAAGAGAGTATTTACGAGTACACGTTCTTCAACAGTCTAGTATTTAAACAGGAATTTCGGGCTTTGTCATTCTTGGTAAACGCCGCACTCACCCAAAAGTGAGTCCAGCTTCTTTAATCCCACTTTTATTGTACAACGTTTTTCACATAAAACATCAGGAGACAGTGTAAACGTCCTTAGTCTCGGTTAATTCAATTTGCAGTGGGGCTGGTTTCAGTTCATTTAATAGAATTCACCAGATTTTTCATTCGGTCCTGTTACCACATAGCAGTTTGTGACATTTATTCTGCTGGTACTACTACTACTACTACTACTACTACTACTACTACTACTACTACTACTAAAACTCTCTAACAAATAAAAACTTGCATTAAAAAGCATTCATTCTATCTAATGCTTCTACGCTTTCCTCATATTTTACCTTCCTGAGCAGCTTCTATGTGAGAGGACAAAAATATGTTATTAGCCCAGCTTTCTCCAATTTCTGATCTTATTCAAATTTTGTCCAAGTCCGGTAGATCCACGTCCTTAACCTGAGCCCGTGTTCTGTGTCTCCCTGCAGAGAAAACCCAGCAGGGAAAAAAGAGGAAGCAGAATGGAGTGAAGGAGAAAGGAAAGGAGAGAAGGAAGAGTAGTCCTGAGACGAAAAAGGAGAAATGGAAGTCAGAGAATGGCTCCCTGCTTAAAGAGCTAGGTACACTTTGTGAGAGTGTGTGTGTGTGTGTGTGTGTGTCTGCGGGTGAAGCATTTGCAGTTTCCAAACTGATCAAAGTGTGCTTCATTAGCTGAAAATCTGCCTGTGTGTGTGTTTATGTGAGAGCAGATGTTGACAACAGGTCAGCACAGTCACAGCCGTGACGTATTATCATTTCCTCCAGGCAGTGTTTGGACAGGAAGTGCTTCACATGCTACAAGTAAATGCGATAATAAGAAGTTAATGTTGTAAAGATTCCAAGTCCTACACATTTACGTAAAAAAAATGTAAAAAGAAAGAAGGAAAAAAAGTTTTTGAATTAGCTTATTATCTTAAGGTTATTAAAGTTAGCAAAGGATTATCATTATTTTAGCAAAGAAAATAGCTTAAGCTTAGCTGAAAGACGTTTAATCAAACAATAAATTTAGCAAAATATTGAATTATAATTATATGGAATGACAGTACAAAAAAGTAAAAATTAAATAAAAAATAGTTAAAATTTAGTCTGTATATAATATAGTCTAAATCGGGGTGCCCAACATCCGACCCGGGGGCCAAAACCGGCTCACTTGGTTATTCAATCAGACCCACTTGATAAATTTCAGAATATTTTTTGTAAATTTATATTTTATCAAATATGAGTAAATAACAATAAATATTAAATTTATTTTTTTGCATGAAAAAAGGGGAACATAACAAACATAGACTATGTTATTTATATTTGATATAACCAAAATGAGTTCAACATCCCTGGGTTAGATATCACCTAATATATAACCCAAAAAGGCAGAAATATAAAAAATATGAATTTCTCTCCGGGTTAGAGAGAACCACCAGTAAAAAGTGCATTTCCTGTTGTGCAGTCGTTTTATTTAATCTCCAGTTAAAAACCTATGTGTCATAGCGAGGGCTGTATTTAGGAGCTGCCTGCAGCTCAGCACAGCAGTGTCTGATGTGATCCATCAGTGAGCTGGCATTGCACCATGACACGGGGATGGACACAGAGGATTTTAAAGAGAGGGAGAGAAAATCCGGCAATAGTGGATATTATAAAAATGTCGTCCCTGTAAATCATGCAGGCGTCTGCTCAGCTTTCCTGTTCTAAATAAATCACCAGGTTTTAGAGGTGTTGGAAGCGTCACGCAGCCTCCTGACGATACAGCAGAAGTTAGGGTCACGGAGTGAAGTGTGGCCCGTGGCTGAAATGAAAGGAACAGTATGGTTTGTCGATGCTGCGACAGATGGGGCGGCGTAACATTTAGTGCCTAACAACACAGAAAATTACAGCTGTCACTTAAACTGGAAGGACGATGACAATGCACGAGGCACGGTCTCTCCCTGTTGATGGACAGACTCCACGCCTGGAATGATTAAATGTGTAGCTTTTTTAAATTGTCAACCCGAGACGTGTCGCTTGCCATTTGGATTGAAGCGCAAATTTGCATTGAATTGCACAGACGTCCTTTTAAAAGTCAAAAAGACCTGTCCGCGTCTGAAGTGTGTCAGACTTATTGTTTGTTTTCCGCCGCTCCAGCATTTTGAGCCCAGAAAATGCTTCAAACAATAGTGTTTGTGTCGCAGAGGTTTGATTTCTGCAGGAAAAGTCAGCTCCCTGGTAGGAGTCGGACAATCAAAATGAAATAATTAAACAGAGTTAACCAGAGAAAGCCATTAAAAATTAAGTCTATCTGATCTTGTTTATCACCTGGATTATTAGGAGAAGGGTGTCAAACTAATTTTGGTTCAGGGGCCACATACAGCATGATTAGATGTCATGTGGGCTAGTCCAGTACAGTCATAACATAATTACCTATAAATAACAAAAAATACATGTTTTCCTTCTTTGTTTTTTTGAGGTTTTTTTGCATAAACATCACGAATATAAAGTGTCCTTTTCAAAATTCATCAACGGGCCAGATTGACCCCCCCAGTGGGCTAGCTCTGGTCCACAGGCTGTATGTTTGACCCTTGTCAAACATACACTTGTTTTTATCGTCAGTCTGTGTCACTTTCTCACATCGGCTTTTGTTGTTGTTTCCCAGCCAGTGTGTGATTTAATTGCAGGTTGTCCACCTACCTTTAGCTATTTATTGTTTAGAACGAGCTCCTGCGTCTGCTCATTTGCTTCAAATAATTGAAAAAAGTATAAAAAAAAATATGCCAAGAAATTCGGAAATTGTACAACGAGGTACCGTGATTTAATTTATAACCTTGGAGAAAAACCAAAAACCTAGATATTAAAGTGTCTGCTGCAAGTTTTGGTTCTTGCTCAACTCACATGCTTGGTCCCGGATTTGAACCGGCACCTTTTGGATTTCTAGGGAGACTGAAGATTTGCCTTTTCTTTGTGGAGTTTGGATAGTCTATGGAAACTTTGGTTTTCCATCACAGCCCAAAAACCACGCAGGAGGAGGTTAATAGAACAAGTGCTCCAGAGTGCCCCCTATCTTCCCAAATGACATCTTAGATTGCCCTCTCCCACCAAAAGAAATATTACATGGTAGAAAATGAACAAATCAATGACAGTAGTTATAAATATATCTATTTTTATTATTGTTACTATGGTGGATTTGACCAGTGTTTGTTTTTGCACCTTAGTTGAGCTCTGAAACCGAACCAACCTCAGCTTGAATTTTCTCTCACTTAACACACAAACCACACACTCTATCGGCCGCGATCGTCTGCGACGCCGGACATTCTCTCATTTCCTCATTCAACCACAGCTGATTGTTGCAGCTCCTGTCGAAGTGAGCGTGATCGATAAACACTGACAGTGACGGAGGACAGAGAGCCTGCACTTGTCTGCTTCGCTCTCTTCCTGTTATGATTTCTATCTCCCCGTCCTTTTCCACCTTCTTTTGTTTGTCACACTCAAAGCTCTGTCTTGGCCTCTGTTCCAATTTTCCCTGCTGGTGTTTATTCTTTCACCTTTCATCATCCGTCACTGTCTCCATCCCTCGGTTTATCTTCTGAGTGTGGAACTTGATACGGAGTAGATACTTCAGAAATGACATTTATGATGTTTACATAATAAACCCGCTGCTTGTGTTTATCTGTTGTCTTTATTATGTTTCGGTACAGTGTTTTGTTTCTTCCTGTGTGTGTCGTGTGTGTGTGTGCGGCATCTTGAATTTCTCGGACCATCTGTTCTCTGTCAGGTCTGCGTTTGTCTCTCAGGGCTCTGTCTCTCTTTAAATGTGATAGCGTTAAAAACACAGACACGAACCAGAAGTACTTTTCACATACGCTGTCCTTTATGATATCTATTCTTAGAGGAAGTCATATGGCAGAGGTGAGGAGCAAGAAGAGGAATTCAATACTTCCTTTTTAAGATGTTTTGTAGTTTTAGGTACAGAATCAAATGCATTGTTTAACCTTAAACCCATCTATTAAAGATTAGACCTTGAAGGGACACAGGTACACCGGTGCGGTACCCGTCCCTGTCCAGTAGGGGGTGCTCAGTACTTACAAAGAACAGTATGGTAAATCATAATTTTTGTTTAAATGTAATTCCGTACGTTTGCGCAAAATAATAAATAAGGAGAAACGTTAAGAGCACCTAGTGGTTCTCTATTGGCTATAAGCAGTCGACACCTTTAGGACAAGCAACATGTAGCGCGACGCTAGCGCTAGATGTTAGGTTGGGTATTTGCACACTAAAAAAAACCCACTGCAATCATACATGGTTAAATATTACTGTGTAACATAGTTGGTGTGTTAGCATACGCTAGCAAATAGAAATTATGTTATTTCGTAAGTCTATTTTGCGTACTACAGTCATAACTACCTTCAGTGATATTCCGATGTCAACACAGGGGAGAAGTGAAGGGCAGTACCGTTTGAAATGAAGTCTGTATGTATTTTTCTAAAATGAGTTTTAACAAAAGATATATTTTGTATGCTAGCATTGTGACGCAGTGACTAGCGCTGTTGCCTCACAGCAACAAGGTTTTCATCTCTCGCTTGTGCTGTGACCTTTAGGAAGTGAGTGTAATATTTGAACGGAACTGAACATGGAAAAAAGAACCACAGTGACATGTTGTAGGTTTCCCTCTCTGAACTCCCTGCTTATTCTCTGCTCCAACACTTCTGTTTTCTTCACACTTCCTCTCGGTCTATTTTTCCTCTCCATCACCTGTTCCCTCCCACTGAGTTCTCCTGAATCCTGCAGAGACATGCTGCGTCATGGAAATGTTCTCCTTGTGTGTGTGTGTGTGTGTGTGTGCAGTTAACAGCTGAGTGTTAAAGCCACCCCAGCAGCCTCCTGCTGTCGTGCTCAGCAGATTATTACAGGCAGTGGATATTTACATGGAGGCTGAAAACACAGTGAAGAGAACAGAGGACAGTGCTGCTCATTAATATTTTTATAGAATGTGTTTGTCAACATTAGTGGCTGCACTGATCATGTTCATGTGGAGCAAGGAGTTAATTATGACAGACTGCTAACGCAGAGGCTAATGGCTGTTCCTGGCTAACGATTATGTCACATTTTTCTCCATTAACGAGATGCCGCCATCTAGAGGTCAGAAGCACCATAGTGTTTTGCCACACAAACATTTTGGCGCGCTGTGGCATGAGTGTAGGCTTAGATCTTACTGACTGGAAAAATGTCAATTTTTAATGTGTTGGATTCATGGGGTTTTTTTTTTAATATTAAAAAAATGCATACCATTAAAAAAACAAAACATGACCTCTTCATGAACTTCCTTAGACGTCCTTCCCCCACGGTGGCAGACCCCTTGTTGAAAACCCCTAGTATAGAGCTATGGATCTCAAATGACCAAACCCTATGACACTATGTCATGTTCAAAGGATCTTTTGAAAACCAAGACATGTATTTTTTTTCTCAACATTGTGTAAAACCAATGTGCTGTTCTGTTATCTGAAATCACAGACGATAGGCAGACCCCCCCCCCACCACCACCACCACCACCATACTTGTAAACTGGGACAAGGACAGCCGTCCAATTAAAAGTTGAATGGAGTTTGATTTAGCTGGTAAAAATGCATTTTAGACGAGATGTGCAGGCGGTGCAATATTTAAAAGTGGCTGAGCAGAGATTTTTTTTTCTTTCTGCCTAAAAGAACCAAAATGATACAAATTGTTATACAAAGATGGAATTAGAAGTTATCAGTTTGGGGTCTGTGACCCCTAGGGGGTTCAGAGGGGTATTGCAGTCGGGTCACATTTTTAACATGCATATTAGCATATTGTAAAATAATGTGTCTGTTATTTAGTAATGAACTAAAGTATGAGAGATAAGGTGTTAAGGTGCAGGAGGCTGAAAGTAATAACCCAAAATGAAAATAGAAATAGAACAAAGATGAACTTGAAGCACCCTTAACCCCAGTTTCTCTTTCTCACTGTGTCAAAAGAAAAAAAATGCAACGAGCAAAAGAAAAAAATGTAGCCAACATCTGCTGCTAGAAAAGGAAGGGAAGAAGTGATGGATCCCCTTCTCCCAGCCCTCCCTCCCCCATCTGTCCTCTTTCCTGCAGTGTGTGTGTGCGTGCGTGTGTGGTCACGTGTGCATGTGCACAATTGTGTCAGAGTGAGAAAGACAAAATGTCACCGATGCACTCAAAGTGCTTGGGCAGCACTTTCACAGCCCACTATGATGTACTGTACAGTGGAAACAGCTAAAAGTCTCCTAATAACACACTCACACACACAAACTTACACATAAACATTGAATACACGAGCCACAGATATGTGTGTCAAGGCATAGAAATGTAGTAAATAGAAATTTATATTCTCTTCTCTGTTGTGTCCTACTTTTACTTATCTGTTAAACTGGATGTCATTTTTTAAATATTTTTTGTTATTAGTATAAATACTGGTATAATGATTAATTTAATCACATTTTAAAATCGTCAGTTGAAGACGTTAAAAATCCTTGATAAAACATGAAAGTAAAAAAAAAAGTCCTCTCTGTTTTTATTATGTCCATGTTTAGATTTTGCAGATAGTTTTTATTATTATTATAATGTTAATGAGCATTCAACCACTCTCTCTTACTTCCTCGTCTTTGTGCTTCTTCTCCCCAACCGTGTCTCCTTCCATTCATCGCTACACTTCCTCTCCCACATCCTCCGGTTTCTCCTCTCTGCTCGTCTGCTGTCCTGATGTCTGCCATCAATCTTCGCTTCTCCACACTCCCGTCGACACCTCGCTCCCGTCCTTTGCCCCCTTTCTCAGGTTTGTCAAAGTCATTTCCACTGGACAGCTCCCTGTTCGACAGCTGGCTGGCCCAGTCGGTTCAGATCACGGCCGACGACATGCTGAGCCAGTGGACACTGGGTGCACAACATGGGGACAAGAGTGGCAGCCTGCTCT